TGCTTCTTGCTAAGTCCCTCCACCAGTACAAAACCCCCCAAGTTCCCCCCAGGCTGGAGCTGCCCTGGCGGGTGTTGTCCCACCGTAGACGCCCTTGTCGAGGAGGAGGAGGAACTCGTTGACAGCCATCTGCATCTCAGCCTTGCACAGGTCCAGCAGTGAGACCACCTTGAAGTCGAGCTGGCGGAGGAGGGCACTGAGGGCGTGGACGTCCACCATGGGCGCCTGCAGCTGCTTGTGGTGCAGGTAGTGCATGTTGCCGATCAGCAGCGCCACTTTGTCCGTGGCTGCAAGGAAGGGAGAGGGAGGTCTTGAGAAGGGGGTGGGATGCTTCTGCTGTCCCCACATCATTCAGCCCCCAGAGGTGACACCCAGCTGTGGCCAGCATCACTGTCCCTGGGTATTGGAGTGCCCCGTGGCGTCCCTGCCTCGCTGATCCCTGAACCACGGGGGTAGGGTTGGAGGTTGGGGTTAGGGATTTGGGTTGAGGGATAGGGTGCTGATCTACTCTCCTGGTTAAGGCTGGGGTGCTGATTTGCTCTCCCAGTGTACTGCACCCACAGAACCCCTGGCCGAGCAAAGCCTCATGGGGTGACAGTGGTGACACTGGGGACAGTCAGGAGGCCCAGAACCTCCTGGGCAGGCTCTTACCATACAACTGGCCGGGACTGCCACACTCTGGGAAGCCTGGGAAGAGAGAAACACCGTGCCAGGGCCCTCCAGTGCCAGGGGAGTGTGGTGGGCAGAGCAGCACGGACCTGCCCTCTCTGCCCACACCTACCTCCATCTCCTTCCTGCCAGGAGCCTCCAGAGGTGAAGAGCCGTGGGCCTGTGGCAAAGGGGGGGTCAGGAATCCTACACGGGGCAGCACCTCCCATGCTGGGCTGCAGCCCCCCAAAACTGCAGAGCAGCCATGAGGGCTTAACAGGGAGCAGGGTGGGGTCAGGACACCCCATGCAGGGAGAGGGTCACAGAGGTTTGTCTGGGGCCCTCACCGATCTCCACATCTACCTCCTGGCTCCACACCTCGTGGAAGAGGTTGAACACTCGGCAGCAGTAGCTGCCCCGCTCAGCCGTTGTCACCAGCTTCACCTGCCAGGGGGAGGGAGCGGGAGGCTGGGGTGGCGTGTTGGGCCATACTGCACTGTGCCACACCGTGCCGTGCCAACACTGTGCCGTGCCAACACTGCGCCGTGCCGGGGGTCCCACCGTACCTGGAGCTGGGGTGCCTGAGCCCCCTCCACAGGCCGTCGGTTCCTGAACCACTGGTACTGGGGCGGGGGGTTGCCGATGGCTCTGCACTCCAGGGCCAGCGTGTCCCCCTCGGCCAGGCGGCACGGCCATGGCTGCCGCAGGATCTGCAGCCCTGCCATGCTTGGGCAGTAGTCACTGGCTGGGGAAGAGACAGGGTGGCAAATTCAGCACCTGGCCATGGCAGAGCTCAGCAGAGCTGCTCCAGGCCCCAGGTTCCTCACTCACAGGCCCTGGCACCCAGGGGTGGCGCAGGCAGTGTGCAAGAGGATGGCACAGGGCATGTGGCTCCTCTGTGGGCACTGCCACCTCAGCAAGCCCAGAGACCCTTGTGGCTGAGCCAGTGACTGACACGGCAAGCAATGCCCCTCAGGATCCATCCCTGTCCTGATGGAATCAGCGGTGCCTGTGGGAGCTGCCCTGGTCCCAACAGGGCAAGCAGTGCTGCATGGGTGCCAGCCAGGGATGCAGATCTAGAAGCCCACCTGAGCTGGGGCTGCTGCTCCTCTCCACCTGGACGTGGGCCCACCTGGAGAAGGCGAAGGCGGCCCCACAGTTCACCCGGCAGATGTACCACTCGGGCTGGCCCGGGGGGGCAGCCGTGTCGATCACCAGCTCCGGGGATGTGGCTCCAGGCACCTACAAGACAGGAGGTGACCAAGGAGTCAGGGGCTCCCTCTTACCTGTGTGGGTGCCCTCACCATGGACAGGGCACGGGGGCCCTGCTTGGCATGATACAGTGGGGCCTCACCTCCCGCTTCCCGCAGAACCACTGGTACACGAGCCCTGGCGGGCCGGTGGCACAGCAGGTCAGGGACACCCGTGTCCCCTCTGCCACCACCTGTGACTCCGGCTGCACCGTGATGCGGATCATGTCCTGGACTGCAGGAGAGGAGAGCTGGCTCAGACCGCTGTTCCACACCATCCCATCCCATTCAGTCTCATCCTATCCTGTCCCATCATACCCTGTCCCATCCCCTCCCACAACAGCCTGCCCAAGCTCAGCTGAGCCCAGCCCATCCTATCACATCCTCTGTCCTGTCCCACCCATCTCATCCTATTTTGTCCCATTTATATATTCAGTGCCATCCCACCTCACCCATTTTATCCTGTTTCAATCTATCCCATACCCACTCTGCTCCACCCTATCCTATCTCATCCCATCCCATGCTGTCCAAACCTGTCCCATCCCATCCTATCAGACCCCATCTCAGTCTGTCCCCCATCCCATCAGACCACATCCCATCCTACCTCACCCTGCTGCATCCATCCCACCCCCCCCCACCCCACCTGCCCGGGACCCCGCTACCAGAGCACAACCCCCAGGAGGAAGAGCCGCCCTTCACCTCATCCGCTTCCTCCCGCTGAGCCCCGTCCCCGGTGCCCCCTCCAGCCCCGCGGTTCCCGCTGCCCGTCCGTACCGGCGGCGCTGAGGACCCGGCAGGCCTTTGTGTGCCCCATCTGCTCCAGGCAGCCCAGCAGGTACTTGAGGGTGCATTCGCGCTCGGCCAGGAGCTGCAGCAGGCACTGCGTGGGGCTGCCGCGGGGCTCCAGCACCTTCAGCGAGCACATCTCCAGCTCCTCCGCGCTGCGAGCGCCCGCGGCCGTCAGTGCCCCCTCCCTCCCGGGCGGGACCCCCGCCAGGGGGCTCGGCGGTGCCCCCTGCCCAGGGGGTGGCCCTGGGGACCCACGCGCCCCTCGCCCAGCCCACGGCAGGGCTGTGCCCACGGGCGTTTTGTCACCCGGTCGGGGACAGCCCCCGGCGTTCCCCCACAGCCCTACCTGCACCTGAAGCGTTTCTCAGCCCCGGCCAGCTCAGCCAGCCTGCGCCAGCCCCGGCTCGCGTTATCCAGGAGCTCACACAGCCGAGCCACCACCTCTTCGCCCAGCGCGCCAATGGGCACGCTCCAGTCGCCCATCCCTGCTGGGGACACCGAGGGGACGGGCCCTCAGCGAGTCCCGGGGTGAGAGGGTCCCGCTGGACACCGCCGGGCACCGCGTGCCTCAGCAGGGAGAGCACCGGCATGAGCTCGCCAGCGTCAGGTCCCCTCCTGGCAGGAGCCTGGGGAGGTGCTGGGAACCAGCTGGCCAGTGCTGCTGGATCTGGCCACCGGCAGCCAGCCAGGAATGTCACACACTCTCCCTCCGTGAGCTGGGACAGCAGCCGGGGGACTCTGCTCACCCCCCAGCCTTGGGCGAGGAGCCAGGGCATTTTATCCCAGTCCTAAGAAAGGGACTTCATGGAATTGGGGTCCACAGAACTGGAAAAAGGGGATGTTCCCTTTCCCCTTCCCTGTCCTTTCAGGGACCACAGAGAATGGGGCCCAGGGCCCCCTCTCCCTCTGGCAGAGGCCCCAGTGGGACAGCAGCAGCCCCCTTGCTGTCACCAGTTCTCCAGAGCCAGCACAAGCCTTTCCAGGCCCCCAAGAGGGGATGCAGAGGGATCAGGGGAGGGTACATCGGGATCCTGGGGCTGGGACCCGGCTCACTTGCCCTGACCCTGGGAAAGGTTCCAACAGCGAGGGGAGCATGGCATGAATCACCTGGACAGGGGCAGCACCCAGGGAACAGCTCCTTCCTCTTCCCCTCAGGTCCCTCCCCAACAACCCACCCCAGAGGAGCCCTTGCCCCCAGGACTGAGCTGTCAAGGGCAGCTGGGTGACACTCACCCAAGCAGAGGGCTCCGAGATGGAAGGCAGGGATCTGGGTGCTCTCTCTGCTCACCTGTTGCTGGATCTGGGGGGCTGGACACGCTGGAGGTGGTGAGGGGAGGGTGGGGTGCAGGACAGCCCTGGCAGGATGGGCACTCACCGTGGGGTACGGCCAGACAAACCCCAGCAGCGCTGAGGGTGTGCACCCAGCCAGCCCCACGCGGAGGAAATGAGGGCTCAGCCCAAACTCTCCCCCGGCCCCCCCGCTGCAGCACAGCACTTCTGCTTCCCTCTGCCTTCCTTCCTGTTGTGGGGCGCGTGGGCACGCAGCTGCCACCGCCTGCCCACAGCCCCCGGGGAGCCGGCACGGCACCGGCCCTGCACAGGGCACGGGGCGCCAGGGACACTGCCAGGCTGGGCAGGGGCTCCACCACCCCCTCCTCGCTCTGCGGGGCTCTTGTGGGTGGCTCCTTGTCCCCACAGCCCAGCTCGAGCCCAGGCAGGAGCTGCAGGGCAGCAAGCCCAGGATGGAGGTGAACCAAGGTGACGGGGGCACCTCTGAGCCAGGCAGGACCACGGCTGGGGAAGCTGCTGGGCTTTGCCAGGCTGGGGCCAGGTGAGGACAGGCAGGGACAGGGCAGCGAGGGCCCTGCTGCTGTGAGGAAGACCTTGCGTCCACCACCCAGCCCAGCCCTGCCCAGCCCTGGCATCCCAGCACCACTGCTCCTGCTGCCAAGGGAGGAAAGCAGAGCAGGGCGTGGGGATGGCACTGCAAGGGGGTACTGTGTCCCCCTACCAGAGCCTGGTCCTCCTGTCCCCCAGCACAGGCTGCTCAGCTCCCAAGACCCCCAGCCAGAGATGTAGTGACAACATGGGGGAGGCATCCCCTCTGTGGAGCCCCTAGACTGAGGTACAGACAGTGACGGAGCAGGACCTGTGTGTGGTATGGGCTCCTCCACAAGTCAAAACCTGAGCTTCTGCCTTCACAAACACACCCAGAACTTGTGTCGCCTCAGCCCCTGGCACAGGGGGGACCCACACCAAGCTTTACAAGGGCCCGGGTTTTACACAGCCTTTGTAACAGGTATCAGCCTCACCCCAAATTTATTTCTTATTTACATCAGGAGACCAAAAGCAGAAGCGAGTCCCAGTGTCACCTGTGCTGGCACATGGGGCAGCCCTGAGCTTGGCAGCACCTACAGCTTCTTGCCCTTCTTCAACTTGTTGCGCTCCCACGTGTTGTATTTCCTCAGGCGCCTCCAGTACTCGAGCGAGTCAGGGTCCAGCTCCTCCAGCTTCTTGGGGGGCCCGAGGTGGATCTTAAAGAGCCTGGGGGGAAATGCAGAGGATGTGAGGTTGCAGGAAGGAGGGAAAAAGGGACAAGCACGAGACACAGCTATGGGCATGAGCGACCAGGATGTGCAGATTCCTCACCCCCACATCCACAGTGCACCCACTCCTGTCTCCCCGACGCCAGGAAGGTCCCTGGGCCGCAGAGGGGCAGTCTGCCTCCTCCCAGAGCACTTCACTGTCCCTGTGCCTCTCGGGACTTCACTGTCCCTCTGTGGGGACACGGAGGGCAGCGGGGCAGCACCCACCAGTCGGGGTACTCGGAGTCGGGCTTCAGGGCCACCTCCGGGCCCTCCTTGAAGTAGTTGACCCCCATGGCGTGGGTGGCGAGCATGGTGGGGTCCGTGCACACCTCCGGCCCCTTCACCGCCTCCTTCGGCGCGCCCTTGCTCTTGGCCTTGGCGACTGTGGGGACAAGGGCAGGGTCAGAGCAGGGGGGACGGCGATGCGGGCTGGGGAAAGGAAGAGGCCTGGGGGCACCACGGGGCGGGAGCGGGGCTGGGGCAGGGGCGAGGGGAGCCGGGTGTGAGGGGGGGAGCTGAGGCAGGAGCGAGGGGCACGAGGGATGGAGCCGGGGGGCGCGGGGGACCGTGAGGACGCGGGGCGGGGAGCACGGGCAGGGCAGGGCAGGGCGGGGCCGTGCCGGCCTCACCGGGTTTCTTGGCGTAGCCGCGGGCCGGGGCCCCGAGCGCGGCCGGCACCGCCCGCAGCAGCGCCCGGGCGGCCATGGGCGCGGGGCACGGCGGGACGGGCGGGGCGGGGTCTGCGCCTGCGCGCGGCTCCGGCAGCGGCGGCGGGAGCGGCCCGGCCCGGCCCGGCCCGGCCCGGCGGGACAGGGGCAGACACCGACCCCGACCCCGCCATGGACAGCAGCACCACCGCCATGGACTGCCAGGCGGACCCCGCCGGCAGCACCGACGAGCCCGCCGAGCCGCCCGCCATGGACACGGAGGCCGGGCCCCCCCGCTCCGCTCCGCAGCCCCGCAGGGACCCCGAGCCAGAGCAGCCGCGGCCCGGCCCGGGGCCCGCCGCGGCCCCCGAGCTGGCGGGAGGAGAGCGGACCGGGCTGTGCCAGGGCTCGGGAAGGGCCGTGGAAGAGGAGGCGGAGCCGCGGGGCTCTGCCCGCTGGGAGCCCAGCGCCGGGAGCGCCCCGCGGGGCACGGGGAGCCCTCGGGCGCCCGTCAGTGCCGAGCCCGCGGGGATGGAGCTGGATGAGACCCCCGAGCCCCGCGGCCGCCCCGACGCGGCCGAGTGGGCCGAGGATGCGCAGGACGAGCCTTCGGAGATCCAGGGGCTGCTGGCCCAGCTGGAGACCCTCGACCCCAACCTGAGCGACCGCCCGCCCGCCCCGGAGCGGGGCCCGCCATCCCCCTCGGGCGCCGGTGCCCGGCGGTGCCCGGGCAGGTGCCGGCCCTGCCCGCTACACGTGGCCACGGGCCGGGGCCTGGCGACGCGTCCCTGCTGCCCCCAGCACCCGGCCTGTGCCCGGCCCTGCCACGGGCTGCTCTTCGCCGAGGCCGACCGGGAGGACTTGCTAAGCCTCCTGTGCTACGAGGGGGGGCTGCCCGAGGCCGGTGCCGAGACCCCCTTGGCCCGCTCCGATGTTCTGGCTGGGACCAACCTGGAGATGCTGCAGGCCCGGGAGGAACCGGAGACTGTGGAGAAGCCTGAAGGGCCAGGAAGGCCAGAGAGCTCAGAGGAAGAACCTTCCGGCAGCTGGTGCTATGGAGAAGGGCTTTGCGAAGTTGATTCCACCTCTGAGGGCATTCGGGAAGGTTCCCCAGAGCCAGCGTGGGCGGCCCTGCCTCCCACTCCAGCCCCCGAGGCAGAGCAGCCACCACCTCCAGGCGCTGTGACTGTGAGTGCTCCGGGCTGCGGTGGGGCTGCAGGAGCCAGGACTTGCTCCTTGGCTCTGCTCCCTCCTGGGGTCTGGGCTGGGGACAGGGGGGAGCCAGGGACTTCTTTCCTCGGGTCTTACAGGGCCTTGTGCTGCAAGTGTGCCCAGACAAGACCCTCGGTACCGGCTGTGGCTCCTACTGCCCTGAAGGCGGGGGGATACTTGCATGGCTGCCTGATTCGTGTGTGCCCCAGGGCAGAGGCTGGTGGGTCTGAACAGCCCCTCTGGCCCCTGGATCCTGTGCCATCCTCCCCTCCAGCCCCAGGACCCTGTGCTGTCTCCTCCTCAGCCCCAGGACCCTGTTCCCCCCTGCCCAACCCTGGGACCCATTTCCCCAAGCCTCAGGGAGTCTGTGCCATCACTGTGCCACTCCTTCAGGGCCAGGCAGGCTGAATCCCTGGGATGCCAACCACAGCCTCACCTGCTCTCTTGTTGCTTTGCAGAACAGGGAACCCCCATCATCCTGCCCGGCCTTCAAAGAGGGTGAGTTGCTTCTGTGCTCAAGCAGCGGGAGCATCCAGGAGTCCTGACCCACATGCTCTGACCCTGAACGGGGGTGGGCTGAGTGTCCCAGCTGGAGAGGGAGTGCCTGTCTGTGCCCATCCAGGGTGGGAATGTCACTCCAGATGGCTTTTTTGATGCTTTGCTGGGGAAGCTGAGGTGCTTCGGGGATCAGGATTGGGGGGATGCTCAGGAAGGGAGAAGGGGATGCCACATGTGTCTGAGGGAAGGGGGAAGCAGCCTTGGTCCCTGGTGATGCCAGGAGCCCATGTCCCAAGCACTGAGCTGCTCTGCAGTGTGTGGGACTGCAGCTAATGGGCAGTAATAGTTGGTATGCCCAGTTTCAGAGGGAGGGGAGCAGCCCCTGCTCAGTCCCTCCCAATGCCTCAGTTCCAGGCCCCTGTGACCCGGAGGATCTGCTGGACGGTGTCATTTTTGGGGCAAAGTACCTGGGCTCCACACAGCTGGTCTCGGAGAGGAACCCCCCGACCAGCGTCCGCATGGCGCAGGCCCAGGAGGCCGTGGACAGGATCAAGGTGCAGGAGGGGTGGGGGGCACAGCTGCCCCCAGCCCGGCCCCCCGTGGCCATGGGGCAGCACTCAGGACCTGCCCAGGGATACCTGGCTGTGGGGCCGGGACCCAGCAGGGCCCTGTGACCTCTCCATCGTCTCACAGGCACCCGAGGGGGAGTCCCAGCCCATGACAGAGGTGGATCTGTTCATCTCCACGCAGAGGATCAAGGTGCTCACTGCGGACACGCAGGTGAGCGGGACTGGCAGCACCCACGTGCCTCTGGGGCTGCTGGAACCTTCCTGTTGGCCTCGGCACCTCAGCTGTGTTCCCACACTGGAGGGGTTGTGCCCAGGGATGGCCTGCAGTCGAGGACACGCATCTGGGAGGGGGCACGTCATTCCACAGCCATCCTTTGTTGTGTCCTTGGCTCTCTGCATGGCTGCACGAGGCTTCCCGTGCGAGCTGCGCCCTGGGATGCTGCTGGGATCCCAGAACAAGCTCCAGGGAACCCAGGCCTGACATCTCGGAAGCTCTTTGCCTCAGGACTAGTTTCTGCATTATAGTAAGAGGGAAGGGCTGTCCCTGTCCCCTGGCAGCATCCAGGGACATGGATGAGTCCTTGATGAAGGAGCTGTTTGTACCCAATGGCACAGACGTGGTTTCTGCCCAGCATGTGCCAGGCGCTTGTGCCACATCCCAACCGGGTGGCTGAACCCTTCCTGCTCGCTGTGCTGGTGGGGGTAGGGTTGCCTGCAGGGCTGAACATCCCTGCCTGTGTCGCCCTTGCCAGGAGGCCATGATGGATCACTCCCTGCAGACCATCTCCTACATCGCCGACATCGGCTCCCTCGTGGTGCTCATGGCGCGCCGGAAGCTGCCCCGGCGCTCGGAGGTGGCGGAGGAGAAGCGGCTCTACAAGATGATCTGCCACGTCTTCCACTCAGCTGACGTGAGGCCACACACGGGTCCCTGGGGAGGGCAGGGTGGCCGTGGGGTCCTGGGCCCATCACACTGTAACAACTTGGGGTCCGTGCTGGGGGTGGCAGCAGAGACCCCTCCCTCCCCACAGAGAGAGGGCAGGAGCCCAGGCTGAGCATTTCTTTGGCACAGAGGGGCCCAGTGGGCAAAGAGGGGAGGATTGGCACTGTAGAGGGGCCCGTTCAGGTGGGGAAGGAGCTCCCAGGGCGCTATTGTCTGCAGCTCTGAGCCATGGGCAGGAACAATCCCTGTGGTTCCCCAGGCCCAGGTCATCGCCCAGGCCATCGGGCAGGCGTTCGGTGTGGCCTACCAGCGTTTCCTGGAGGCCAACAGCATCGACCCCAGCGAGCTGAGCCCGCGCCAGTACAGCCGTGCCCTCGAGGACCAGGAGCAGTACAACGCGGAGCTGACCCACTTCTCCCGGCAGGAAAACTGCAAGGATGTAAGAGCTGCTCGGGGGAGGGAGGGCGTGGGGAACCTGCTGGCACCTCTGTGCCGTCCTCTCCATGGCTCCCTGAACAGCTGAGGTGCTCCCTACAAACCAGACCCCATCCCAGCTGGCTGTGAGCACAGGACACCTGTGCTGGGCTGGGGCACGTGCCCCTGGCTCTGGTGACCATAACCCACCCATTGTGCTCCCAGGTCTGCATCCGGAAGCAGAAGGGGGAGATCCTGGGCATCGCCATCGTGGAGTCAGGCTGGGGCTCCATCCTGCCCACCGTGGTCGTCGCCAACCTGATGCACGGGGGCCCCGCGGAGCGCTCGGGGGAGCTGAGCATTGGGGACCGCCTCATGTCCGTCAACGGGACCAGCCTGGTGGGGCTGCCCCTGGGCACCTGCCAGAGCATCATCCGGGTGAGCTGGGACAGGGCCACCTCCTCCTTCCTGCCATGGGGAGCGGCCGGAATGCTGGGATCCCCCAGTGCCCCACGCTGTGGGGCAGGAGTGCCCGGGGGCTGCTCCTGTCCTGGGGGCTCTGACAGTCCCTGCTCTCAGTGCTTGGGAGGAGGGGGTGTGGCAAGGCAGGGACAGACCTGGGGACTGTACTTGCTGGGTGGGGCCCTGCCCAAGGAGGAGGGTGGGAGAGGAGGCAGGCACCTGTCTTGGAGGAAACCTGTTGTACCATCTAGCTCTCAGGCAGGAAGGAGCTGAGAGCAAGGACAGCGTGGCCTTGAGGGCAGAGTGCGAAGTCTTGGGCTGGGTTTTATAAATTCTTGCCCTTGGATTTGAGCATGGCAATATCCCTGTGTGTACCTCAGTTTCTCCACTGAAAACAGGTTGCTTATCCTCAACACTCCCATGAGCAGCTTGGTTGTGTCGCCCCTCTACCAGAGCTGAATAGCTCTCCAAAATCTGACCAAGCCTCATGCCACCCTCCAGGAGCTGAAGCACCAGACCGAGGTGACACTGAACATCGTGCACTGTCCCCCTGTCACCACGGCCGTCATCCGACGCCCCGACTCCAAGTACCAGCTGGGCTTCTGTGTTGAGAATGGCGTGGTGAGTGCCTGTGGGAGGGGGTCTGCCCGAGGGACAGGCAGAGCTGGGGGTGCCCACAAAACAGTGTCCAGCTCCTGCATTCCCTGTGCCTGCCCGGGCCGAGGGGTCACAGTGCTCTGCTGTGCAGAGCAAAAGGCTCCTCAGCTCTCCTGCAGCACCAGTGGTTGTATCCCTCTCTCTGGTGCTCCTTAGCTGTTTGCTTTCTGGGTGGTGGCTTCTTGGCTTTCTGGGAGTGACCCCAGTGACATTTGTTGTCCTCAGGACTCTGGCCACTCCCTGCTCTGGGGTCTGCTGTGGCTGTGTTGTGAAGTCAGTGGGGCATTCCCAGGCCCAGTGGGAGCTGAGGGGGTGGGTGGGCAGTGGAGGGGGTGGCACAGCTGCCTCGCACGCTGACCGATGCTCCCAAAGGGATTGGAGATGTGGGTCTCTCCTGCTGCCCCAGGGAGAAGCTCAGGCTCTGCAGCCCAGGCTTGCTGGGAGCAGGAGGGTTCGGTGAGTGGGAGCAGCTGCACAGTCAACTAGGGTAAACAATCCTGGGGGCAGCCCTTGCCCCAGCACACTGCTCTGGTGGCAACAATGCAGGGCAGTGGCTGCCCTCACTGTGTGCCCGTGGGCTGGAGGAGACAGCACCCACATCCAGAGTGCTGGCTGGGAGCCTGCAGGGCTGTGAGGGTGTGGGGCAGTGTTGGTTCGGGCTGTGGGCACAGCCCTGATCTCACCAGCGCTCCCCACTCCCAGATCTGCAGCCTGATGCGCGGGGGCATCGCGGAGCGCGGCGGCATCCGCGTGGGGCACCGCATCATCGAGATCAACGGGCAGAGCGTGGTGGCAACGCCCCACGAGAAGATCATCCAGATCCTCACCGAGGCAGTCAGCGAGGTGAGCAGGGACCCCTCAGAGCAGCTGGGCTCAGAGCTGGGTACCAGCACCCTCCAGCCCGGGCTGGGCCTCTGATCCGTGCCTCTGTGCCCAGGTCCACATCAAGACCATGCCAGCCTCCACGTACCGCCTGCTGACAGGGCAGGAGCAGCCCGTGTTCCTCTGAGCCACTGGCCGTGCCTTGGACAGGCAGGAGCAAACCTGAAGTGGCAGGTCTGGCTCTGCTTTCTGCCCCAGCCCTGCGTCAGAGCCCTCAACAGGACCTGATCCTGCACCTCTTTGGTTTTACTCAGGACACAGTGGGAGACTCCAGGGGCTGATACCCAGCTTGAGCAGTGTGTGCCACAGTTTGGGCACCCACTCCCACCCTCCACTCACCCTCCTGCCTCACAGTGCCTGCACAGTGCCCACACAGTGCCCACACAGTGCCTGTCCTGCTGCTGCTGGTGGGAGGAGAGGGGACCCCACGTGAAAGGTCCCTCCCATCCAGTCACTGCAGATTGTGCTTTTATGCTCACCAACGGTGCCTTTCCCCAGGTGAGGATGGTGCTGGAAGCACAGCTCAGCTCTAGAGCAGTGCTGACCCCGCACCCCTCTGTGTGGGTGCACCACTGGCTCTCCTGAGGGACACCCAGCAGCTCCCAGACTCAGCCTTAAGGGCAGCAGCACTCTTGGCACCTGCCCCTCCCCTCTGGCTTGGCCAGGGGCCTGCTGGGGTGCAAACAACCCCCCATTGGACCCGTTGCACCAAGCTGGGAACCTACCTCAGCTTCTCCCTGGTGCTGCCTTGAAACTGCTCTGCACACACAGCCTGGCCCAGGGCTGCAGCCCTTGGTGCAGCAAAAGGGAACAGGGCACTGCCCTGCCCCTCACTCTGGGATATTGGGGCCCCAGGGACCCCACTGGGGATGTGCCTTTTAGGGGCTCTCTGGGCCCCTGAAGCCAGGGCAGCGCTGACCTGGCTGTGCCTGGGTGCTTGGCTGATGTAAAAATAAAAGTTTTGGGAAATGTGGGAAGCTCCATTGGCAGAGCCCCATGTGGGCTGCAGTGGAAGGCTCAGCTCTGGGTGGCACACCATGGCAGTGCCAGGCCCTGATTCCCACTCTGGTGGCTCAGGCAGGGCAGCCAGCAGCAGAGGTGGCTGGGTCTCATCAAGGCCACCCTGCTGCAGTGTCCCCTGCATGCTGCCACCCAGCACACACAGACAGGCCCGTCCTGATCCAAACATCCCTTTTATTTCAGTAGCAGCGGCCGTGGCCAAAAGGGAAGGAGGCACTTTGTGGTTGGGCCCAGCCCCATCTGGCACTACCTGGACTGTCACCTGGACCCAGTGGCGCAGGGCTGGCCCATGGGGACGGGCCAGCAGTGCCACTACACATCTGTGGCTGGCCCCCACTCGTAGCCTTCATCCTCATCCGAGTCATCCCTGGCCCGTGTGAACCTCTTCCTCACTGCCTCATGCTCGTACTCCCTGGGGGGCAGAAGCAGTAGTGGTGGTGGTGGCTCTGGCACCCAGTTGGGCCCAGGCTGGGTGACAGGGACAGTGCCCTGCTCAGGCCCTCCCCAGCCCTGGGCTGGCTGCCACCCCCCTCCCTGCAGTCCCAGGGCACAGGGTACCTGATGCTGTCGTAGTGCCGGCCCTGCTGCGGCTGCCTGGGCACCTGGGGAAGAGCAGAGCAGTGAGGGGTCAAGGACAGGGCAGGGGGTTTGCATGGGGTGTTTGCCCCTGGGGACCCAGAGCTGAGCATGAATGCACAGCCAGATCCTACACCCCAAAGACAAGCATTGTGGCCACCCCCTTCTGCCCCCTCAGCCCCTTGTACCAGTCTGGGGGGACCCACCTTGTCACTCCGGCCATGTCTTGGGGACAGCTGTGCTGGCTCAGAGGAGCTCAGGCCATGGCCTGGGGACAGCTGTGCTGGCTCAGAGGAGCTCAGGCCATGGCCTGGGGACAGCTGTGCTGGCTCAGAGGACCTGGCCAGCCCAGGCTGGTCGAAGGCATCCTCTGCCTCGCCGTCAGTGTAGGCACCTGATTCGCCATCCGTGTCCTCGTAGTCGCTGTTGGCGTGGCTGTCACAGGTCAGGTAGCCTGAGGCCACCGTGCTCGGTGGGTTCAGCAGGTCCAGACTGTCCTCAGATGCCATATCTGCCTGCGGGGTGGGGATAACAGAGACCTGGAACCCCAGCTGTGGGGGGACGGCTGTGCAGCCCCAGCCAACCGAGCCTCGCTGCAGGGATCCCGTGCCCTGTACCTGCTCTGCTGTCATCCAGACGGGCTGGCTTTGCTGCGTCCTGATGATGTCCTGGATCTGCTGGAACCAGGCATTGCCACTGCCGCTGAGGTGGACGGTGGCTGTGAAGAGGTGGCTGCAGTACTTCTTCATCTTGTTGGCCTGGGCATAGAGGCGCCGGGAGCTCTTCCTGGAGTCGGGTGCCAGCCACTGCCGCATGGCCTTGACGCCGGGCCGGCTCTCGGGCTCGCAGAACACCACCACGGGGTAGTACTGCACGTAGTTGAGGCGCTCCACGGCCGAGGGGGTGATGTCCAGCAGGGCGTGCTTGCCCTGGGGCAGGGCACGGCTGTCAGCCCCACTGGGGACAGGGACAGAGGCCATGGGCTCCCCCAGGCCTCACCTGGCTTCAAGGACACGGGAAAGGTCTCACCTTCTCTGCGATCTGCCGCACCGTGTCCAGCTTGATGACCTTGGACGATGCCCCATCTCGGGGCACGCTCTCTGCGGGACACAAAGACAGGGCATGAGAGGGGCTGGGGGAGATGTGGCACATCCAGCAGCCCCAGGCTGGGCCTGGCCCTGCCCGGCACCGGGGCTGTGTCCCTCAGGGAGGGGCATGTCTGGAGCCGGGCTGGGATGGTGATGCACAGGACAGGGAGGGTGAATGAGCCCAGGAAGGTGTTGGAGTGTCACAGAGAGGGGACAATGGGCAGGGTCAGGACAGAGTCAGAGGTGAAGAGCTCCCACAGGTCCTGGATGCTGCAAGTCTGACTGCTGGATACGATTTCCCACGGGGGGCACTTACGGGCGATTTCAAACAGCTCGGGCAGCTCCCTGCTCAGCTTCTGCACGGCGATGTCTGCGATGGGGCCCAGGATCACCACCGGCCGCTTGAAGCTGGCTGTGGGAAGACAGAGGGGTTCAGGGGGGCTGGGGGTGAGGACAGAGCTCCCAGCACGTGGACATCCAGCCCCACTCCCCATAGTGCCCACGGGCCTGGGATTCGCCCCACTCCTCCCAGAGCAGAGCCCATCAGCACCCAGAGAAGGGCAGCCCTGGGGCCGATGTCGCCTGGTGGGTCGGGGCAATGGGGACACAGCCCTGGTGCCCACCTTCCTTCAGGACCACCCTCTCGTATGGTGGGTAGCGACCCTGCTTTGTGAGGGCAGACAGGTCCTCCCGGCTCTTCCGCAGCATCTTCTTGGCTCCCCGCAGGCCCCGCAGCTTCCAAAACTCGGCCCGTGCCCCGGAGGGGTTGGCACCAGATGTGGCTTTCAGCACCGACTCCAGGCTGGCAATCTGCTCGGCCCTGGGAGAGGAGAGGGCTCGTGACCTGCAGCCTCTGGGTTAACCCCCACTTGTCTCTCTGGGCTCTGAGGAGTGGGGCAGGACAAGCCAACATCAGTGCTCAGTGACGTGGCTGGGTGAGTGTCCTCCCTTTGGGGCCTTGGACAACCCAAGCATCAGCTGCCCCATCACCCCTGAGAAGGGATTTCACCGGCTCATCCTTCCCACTGCTGTTCCAGCAGCCCTTGCCTCTAACTGACCCCCCATCCACATCCCCGGCTCACTGGGGAACCTTCCCCAGCTCTGCTCACCTCAGGGCCATTCCTGGCTCCGTCCCTACCTGCTCTGGTTGGGGATGATGCCCTTGTCCTGCTCCTGCAGGTCCCTGCCCACGCGCACAGCCAGCCAGTTGCCCAGCCTGCCCCGGTACATGGTGTCCAGCACGTGGAACACGTCCCCCCGCACGAAGCTGAGCCCCGACGGCGCGTCCTTCTCAAAGTCAAAGTGTGTCCGGATGTAGAACGAGTCGCCCACGTTGGACGAGACCATCTTCCTGTAAACTGGAGCCCGGGGTGAGAGGGGCCATCAGGGCAAGACATGGCTGAGGAGGAGGGTGCTGGAGAGGAAGGTGCTGGAGGGATTTTGGAAGGAGTGAGGCTGCCTGGGAGCCTCCACAGTAGCCCTGCGGCTAAAGAGGGTGTTGGGGACGCATTTTCCTCCCATGGCTTTCTCAAGCAAGCTGGAGACAACAGGACCTGACCCCCCAGCACACACTGCCCTCTCCAGGCTGAGCCATGGTGCCAGAAAGTCCCCACGCTTCAGGATGCCAGGGCACAAATGGGGCCGGGATGGTCTGGTCCTCTCCCATCAGCATTTTGGAAGAGGATGAGGGGTTGTGGGCAAGGAGGACTGCCCTGCAGGGGAAGGAAGGACTATGGCAAGTCCAGCAGGTCTGATGCTTGCCCAGAAGAGATAGGATGGAGAGGCACAAGTCCAGGTTGAGCCTGGTCACCACTCACTGTCCGGCTTGCTCTGGGTCCACAGCGTGACCTCCTTGCCCACGGGCAGGGCCATGAGGTGCTCCACGGCCTCCTCACGGGTCAGGTGCTGGAAACTGGTGTCATTCACCTGCCACAGAAAAGCACCTGGACACAGCCCTGCCAGCAGGATGGAGGGAATGGGCACCAGCAGGGCTTCCATGGACAGGCACCCAAGTGCCTGCCACAACCCCCAGTGGGCCTCTGAGGCTTCAGAAAGAGTGCTTGGACCCCGCTGGATGCCAGCATGGTGCTGGAGACAGCACTGACCCTGCAGACAGTGCCCACAGAGCCAGCCCAGCAGGTAAAAGTTATGGGTGCCAGCACTGACTGAAAACGATGCCCAGCAGGAGGAATCCCAAACCCGGGGAGGTACCACGCCCAGCAGGTGTGATCACACCCAAATGCGGCAGCATTCGGAGCCCTTCCCAGCCCCTGGTACCTGCAGGATCTGGTCCCCCTCGCAGATGCCCTGGCTGTGGGCCGGGCTCCCCTCCTGCACGCTGGACACGAAGATGCCCACGTCGTTGCCGCCCGCCAGACGCAGCCCCGCGCTCTTGGCCTTCACGAACCGCACGACCCTGGAGCCGGCGCCGTACCTGCCGTGGGGAGGGAGTCAGCCCGGGGGTGACACGTGGGGACAGGGCAAAGGGACACAGATCCTGTAACCCCAACCCCGTGCCGGAGCAGATCTCTGTGTCCCCCAGCCATTCCCTGCCGCCTCTCACAGTTACCCGTCCTTGGGGGCAGCTCGGGGAGCAGGGCGAGGTCTGTGGCCATCCCCCTTCACAGCTTCCAGCGGCTCTGCAGGAAGGGGAGCTGGTGAGGAGCAGCAGTGGCTGTGCCGAGGCACAGGGAGCCCTGGCATGACTGTGCCGGGGGTTTGGGCAGCAGAGATGCACAGGAGCCCAGAGCCCCCAGTGCCCAGTGCTGAGCCCACTCACCCAGTCCCTGAGCAGCAGCCGTGGTCACCTCGGCTACAGTCTCCTTGTTCGATCGTCTCCTCTCCCTGGGACAAGGTCAGGCAGGATTTAGGCAGGGCACAGACAGGCAGTGCCAACGGGGCAGCAGAGCAAGCTGGGGATGGCAGTCCCACCTCCAGGGACAGTGGCTTGGGAGTAGAGAACCAGCCCCCCCAGACAGGTGGAGAGAACACAGGAGATCTGCCAGGGGACAGAGCAGCTCGTGGGGACAGCGTGGGGCTTACGGGGGTGAATTCATCCTGGCAGCAGCTGGAGATCGTGGGGAAGCATCAGGGGATGGCGGATGGGACAGCTCAGAGTCGATGTCGGAGATATCTGCAGCAACAGCAGGCAAGATGTACCCGTGACTGTCCAGTGCCTGTGCTGTGTGTTTGGCCCCCAGCCCCGTGACCGTGTCCCCTCACCATCCATCCGGGAGCTGTCACTGTCGCTGTCCACGTCAGGGATGTTCACCAGGAACTGCCGGTGGTCCCGGAGGATGAGCAGGGTCAGGATCCCCTCTGTCCGCTCGATGAGCTGCTGGGTTTCAGCCAAGGACATGTCCTGGCTGGCCACTCCATTGATCTGGAGGGGCAGAGTGGGAGGCCTCAGGGCACCTGCTCTTGGGAAAGCCACCCCCAGGAAAGCCCCACTGGAAAGGGGTGCTTTGACTGCCGTGCCCCCAGTTCCCTCCCAGTCCCTCCAGCCCAGCCCCAGCTTCCAAAGCTTCTCCTGTCCTGGACTGTGTCCCTGTTCCTGGCTGCCTCCCAGTATAACCTCATCCTACACAGAGGAAACAAATTAGCCATGCTAATTAACACCCACCTCCACCTGCCCCGGGGCCCTGCCTGGCGGCAGGAGATGCACAAACCCCTCAGACACCTGAGGCTGTTTTACTTTGCCCTTGGACTGCACTGTCCTTCCACGTGCTGGCCTAGAGCCAGGGAATCAGGCCCCAATTGGACCCTGGGGCTGGGATCTCCCTGAGTTGCAGCAGCTTCTCCCAGCAGTTCGTAGGATGTTATCCTTTCCATTTGCCCCAGAGTCACTCTGGCACTAGTTCCCAGTAGCCACAGGTCTGCCTGGCCTGGGTGTGCAAACCAAGGGTCTCCCTCCCTCTAATTCCTCCTCCCCAAATACTTCCAGCATCGTTTGACCTGGCAAACACCTGAGCTCCTCGGGGACTGTCACCTGGCAGGGACACACCCTCTCCATGGGGGACCACCCACCACAGGGAGAGCAGGGTGGACACAACCCCGCTGTGCCAGCATGACAAGCCACCAGCAGCACAGGGACTGGTCCCCAAGAGCCCCTGCGGGGTCCTGGGACAGCCAGGGGGACAGGGCAGGGAGTGGACACCAGCAGAGCTGCTTCCAGCACGCCCGTGGTTGGGCCCTGCAGTGACACGAGGGATGAACCCCCAAAGAGGGGCAGATGAGACCCCCAGTGAGCGCTGTGCACCCTGGGGATCCCTGTACCTTCAGGATGAGATCTCCCTCCTGTAAGGAGTTCCCCTTGGCCGCCAGTCCGCTCTCCACGATGTGCTTGATGAAGAGCTGACTCCCCAGCTTCAGGCCATACTCTGCAGCAGAGAGAGCTGTGATGGTGGCAGAGCCAGGCAGATACAGGACTCCCTCGAGGACCCCCTCACCACCATCCCTACAAGCCCTGGCTCCCCCTGGGACAGTAGCAAGCCCCAAAGCTGAGCTCTGCAGCCCCAGGCTGAGGGCAGGAGGTTTGGTGCACCCAGCACAGCACGCAGCGTCCCCTCGCTGCAGCCAGACCCTGGCACCCACCCTGCCATTGCCTCCTCCCCGGGGAAAAGCACAGCCAAAAATCAGTGACAAACCCCAGGGGCAGCAGGAGCAGGAGGGGCCTCACCTTCGCTCTGCTTCTGCTTCACCAGGACTGACGTGATGGGCTTGGCGGGCACGTCCTGGCGCGGCAGCCGCTTGAAGCCTGACACCAGGGCCAGCCCGTTGGTGTCCCCTTCCTGGCCAAGGGCAGTGCTGGGGTGGTGCCGGCTGCGGCCCCTCCGATCTGAGCCACTGCCCGGGCTCTGCCTCCAGTGGCCGCTGTCCTGGCTTCGCCTCCGGCTCCGGGGCACCGGCTTGTGGTGGCGACGGTCATCGCGGTGGTGGCCAGAGCTCCTCTCACTGGACGAGTCCCCATCGTAGCCCTGGCTGTGGTCCAGGTCGTCCCGGGAGCGCCGCAGGGCCGGATCCCCCCTGTGCAGCCCGTTATCTTCATCCGAGTCGTAGTGCCGGGGCACGGCGGGGGACCCGGGGCTGCTCTTGCTCACGGGCAGGTGAACCTTCCTTGGTCTTTTCAGTGTCTGCAGGTACAAAGTGAGAAGGAGATGGTGGGTGCAGCCACCCGTGCCAGATGCGCCTGGGGTGGGACAGGGCGCTGGGGTGGGGACAGGCACGGTGCAGCCCCCACACATCAGTGGCCCCTGTCCCGCCATGTGACACACTCACAATGTTGGCAACCTTGCCACAGGTTTTGAGTGTCTGGATGGCGAAGGAGGACGGGACATTCTCCATGGAAAGGCCGTTCACCATCACGATGTGATCCTTCCTCCTGGGAAGGAAACAAACACAGCTGTGGCTCTGCCCTGGGCACAGCCCCCGGCCTGGGGAGCTGGCGGGGTGGCGAGGGTACCCCAAGGGGACCCCATCCCAGCCAGGCAGGGTGACAGCAGTGCTGGCCCTGCTCCAGCAGGAGGGATTCTCTGTCCTTCCCAGCCTCACTGGCAGCGAGCACCCCCTGACACCCACGTCCCCCTGTACTCACTGCAGGCGGCCCATCGCTGGTCCCCCGGACACCACGTCCGAGACGAACACTGCCGTGTCCCCGGTTGTCCTGTTGGGACGGTCCCGGCCTCCAGAGACGGCGAAGCCAAAGCCCCGCTGAGGGTCCTGGCAGGGGTGGACGGACGGGGGTCAGGCAGAGCTGACCCCACAGCCCCTGTCCCCTCCCCTGGCTGCCCCAGGCCATGCTCACCTTGCTCAGCGTCACCGTGTGCTGCTCCCAGATCACCATCTCCTCCATGGTGGGCACCCACCAGCTGGGGAGGGGGACAGTGGCAGCCGCCTGGCCGGGGGGCTCGGACCGGCTGCGCCTCCTCTTTGCAGCTCCCGGCCCCTTCCTCACTCCTGGATTGGGCTGCAACAGAGAGCAGCAGCAACGCTGAGCTGTAGGTATGGGGGACAGCCAGGGTGGAGGGGACAGAGCCCTGTGGTGCCCAGGCACCCACCAGGGCACCGGGACTGGTAATTGAGCCACACCCTGGGCCATGTGTTCCCCACGTGACAACTGGCTCTGGAACCCCGAGCTGTCTCTGTGCAGCATGAAGTGAACCCCCCAGGGATCCATCTCCACCCCCTTGGACACATGCCCATGGAAGGGGAGGTTTCACGCAGGGCAAGGTCAGGACCCATCTACACGGCTGGGACTTTCTGTCCATGCCATCCTTGTGGTCTTGCTCCCCACCCTCGCCCTGGATCCTGCAGACCCCAGGGTGCTGCTCTGGATGGTATTTCAGTGCCTGCCTGCCCGCTCTGGCCTCCATCAGCTCTGCCAGTTGCTTTGGCAGCACCCTTTGGTTTTCCCCAAATCCAACATTTTCCAGCTGAGATAGACAAGCCTGACTGACAGGGTGACATCCCCTCCAAGCTGAAACTCCTGGAATGGGCCTGGGGACCCTCTCTACCAGCTCCTGGCTCCCTGAAGGGGACATCAGCATGAACCCAGACAGATGCAGGATCCCACGTGAGTGGGGGAGACAGCAGGGCCAGAGCGTCCTGCCAATCCCCATGGGGTGGGACAGGGAGAGGCCAGTTTGATCAGGGACTCACAGAAGCATCAAGGCTGGAAGAGACCCTCAAGATCATCGAGTCCAACCATCAACCCAGCACCATCATAATCACCCCTAAGTCCCCAAGTACCCCGGGTGACACCGCCAGCGATGCCCACTGTGGGGAAAACAACGACTTGGGGGGTCATTTATCAGAAAGTGACACACCCTGCCCACCCCAGCCATGCCCCCCCTTCACCTACATTCCATTTCCCACCCCCCTATCCCGCTGATGGGGGTCCCCAAGTGCCACATTGTGGTGTCTCTTGAACACTTCCAGGGATGGTGACTCCCACATCTCCCTAGGCAACTTATTCCAAGGCCTGACCACTCCTCCAGTGAAAAAAAAAATTTCTAGTATCTCATTTGAACCTGCCCTGGTGCAACTTCAGGAATTTTCCTCTGGTCCTGTCACTTGAGACGCGGCAGAAGAGGCCGATCCCCACCTCACTGTACCCTCCTTTCAGAGAGTCCTAGAGAGCAGTGAGGTTCCCTCACTCATCTTCTCTAGAGTCTCATCCTCTCCAGACTGAACATCCCCAGTCCCCATGGCACACATTTGGCTCTGGGGTGGCTGTGCCAGGGGTCCTGCTGGCTCCCAGTGTGGCTCAGCCATCCTCGACCCCCAAGTTGGTACCACAGGCAGTTGGAAAACTCCACAGCTCCTTTGGGGATAGGCCGTGGGACAGCTTGGGTGGGACCAGGAGGCACCAGATATGCCCTGTGGGCAATGCCAGAGGTGATGCCAAGCGCTGTGGTTCAGCCCCAGCACGAGGACTTCCCATGGCAGCCCCCAGCTGGAGCGATGCTGAGGCAGCCTCTGAGCCCCTAAAACAAGCCCCAGTTCAGCCCCTGAAACCAGCCCCAGCTCCCTGCAGCCTCAGGGAGGGCTGGGGGGAGCCGGTGTAATCATTCACCCGGGCAGGGCGGGTGTGGAGGGCAGAGTCCAGGCTTCCCCTCTGCGTCAGAGCTGCCAAAATCAGCCCCAGAGCCTCCCTGGCGCACGCCAGGGCTCAGCACGATGGGGGGCACACCTGGTGGGTGGCTGGGCAGTGTTGGCACCCACAGTCCTGTACCTGGGAATTCTGGTGTCCAACAGGAGCCCCCAGCGTGGCAGTGGGGTGGCTTCAGCCCTGTCACCAGAGCTGGCTGGTCCGTGTTCACAGGCTGCCAGGGCACCCACAGGTGACATGGTGTGAGACAAAGGTCCAAGAGACCCCAGCCTGGGGCAGCCAGAGCATCCCCCTCCACAGGGTGATGATATCTGCTGTGCCAGAGCCACCCCTGCTGCCACCCAGCACAGTCTCACATTGTCCCCAACCGGCTCCCACCACTGTCCTGTCACCAGGGCACCACAAACTGGCCACACACCCCAGTCCCACTGCTGCCCGTGGCTCTCCGTGGGCAGTGGCTGGGGCAGCGTGGGGATGGCAGGTGCTCCCATATCACCACCAGCTGGCACTGGCAGCGCCCACAGTGTCACCAAACCCCAGTCCTGTCCCCCGTCCTCCCCCCCCCCGGGCCTGGCGCAGGGCCTGTCCCAGCCAAAGGCCGAGGCTGGCAGCAGGAGGAGCCGGCTCAGCCGGTTTCCGACAGAAACCAGCCCGCACTTGGAATGGCCCCGCCGGGAGGGGCAGTATCTGGGCAGAGCTGACCACGGCCCGGCCCCGCGCCGGGCACCGACAGCATCGAGAGCCCCACGCACCCCGCTCTGCCCCAAACATGCACCGTGGCAGCGTCTTCCAGGGATTTTAAAACCAAAGGAAGCTGAGCTGTGCCAGGGTAGCTCGTTCCACTGCCAGGTACCCAGCTCAGGGCTGTGCCTGGCCCCGGGTGACACCGCCAGCAACGCCCACCGTGGGGACAACAACGACTTGGGGGGTCATTTATCAGAAAGTGACACACCCTGCCCACCCCAGCCGTGCCCCCTCCACCCATATTCCGTTTCCCACCCCCCTCCCCCATCCTGCTGATGGGGGTCCTCAAGCTGGGACCCCAAAGCCTTCCCGAGATCAGTGGGGTCCCTGCTCTAAGGCAGTGCTGCAGCACCGGGGTCCCAGATGCCCCCAGAAGTTCCTCTGTCCCGACCCCACCCAGACCGACCCTCTGCTCTGGGAAAAGGTCTCTGGGAAAGCTAACCCGGACCGACTGTAAACCAGTAGGAAGAGGCACGTCCTCCAGCCCCGGGGCGTGGAGCTGTGATCCCCCGGGGTATCTCCCTGTCACGGGGCAGAGTTCCACGAGGGTCACCAGGTCCTGGAGCCAGCCAGGGAGGGACAAAGAGTGGCCGGTTGCCCAGGTGAAAGCACGGCTGGGTCCCTTTCCCAGCCGGGAAGCACGGCCGGCAGATCCCGGGGGACAGAGTTAGGAACTCACCGAGCCTTCGATCCGACCAGGAAGGAGCTGGGCTCCCGGGCTGGTGGCAGAGGTGTCACTCCAGGGTGCCTTGCGTAACCCTTTGTGGCCCAGGCGCTGCCTGCAGGAGCGAAGGAGAACGAAGGGGGTCCTCGGGCAGCTTCCCGGGCACAGCAGGACTCCCGGAGGGCTGCCCCTGGTGCCCTCCATTGTGCTGGTGGCTCAGGCACCTACACTTACCCCCCTCCCTGCCCAGCACAGGGACAGGCTCACGGGATGCTGGCGGTGGCTGTGCCTGGGGTCGGGGGTCCTCCCCGCCCATCCTGGCCCTTTCCAGGGACGCGGTGGGACTCTGCGCCCTCCCGGACCCCCAAACCCTCCCAGCGTCACCCAGTGCCCCAAGCAGGGACAGGGACAGGGACAGGGGCCAGCCCGGGGCTCCCTGTCCTGGAGGATGTGAGATAAAAGGTGCTCCTGCTGATGGATGCTCTCCCCTCTCCTCCCCTTCCCCTTCCTTGCCCCCACCTGGGGACCAGCCCCCCGTCATCCCTCGTCCCGCGGGGTCGCTTTCCTGCGGTGACAGCGGTCAGGTCCACGCCGCGGCTCTTCAGGGGCCGGTACCGCTCCCAGCCCAGCGCCGAGGCGGCCAGGGGAGACCAGTTCCTGCGGAACCGCCCGGCCCGTAGCCGCCACGGCGGACCCGGGGCCATGCCTTCCCCTCCGCTCCCGCCGCGGCACCGGGGGGAGCCCGGAGCCGCTCCCGCCGCTCCCCGGGACCAGCCGCGGCCGGGAGCCCCTGGGGCGGGGGCCGGCGCCGCCGAGCAGCCTCATTAGCGCCGGTGGCTCCAGCGCTGCCCTCGGGCCGGGTCTGCCCCCGCCGGGACACGCGTGGCCCCGGGGCCGGGAGAACCGGCGGGGCCGGCCCGGGCTGACCCGCGCCCCGGGGCTGGCCGGGGCCCGGGCCGTGCGGCGCCACTAGATGGTGCCGAGGGGCCGGGAGGAGCCGGACCCAGCCCAGGCTGCGGAGCGGCGGCCCCGGGGGAGGGAGCGTGTCTGGGGATCGGGACAAGGCAGGGCCGGAACAGCCCCAGAGGATCGCGCGGCTCTCGCCAAGGGGAGGCCGGGGAGGCGGTGTCTGGCAACGGGAGAGCCCCGAGAGGGAGCCGGTGCCGCGGGGACAGAGAGGGGGAACCGGGACGGCGGTGGGACCGGGAGCCCGGGCTCTGCAGGTGGCCACGCCCCCTTCCGAGCCACGCCCCCTGCCGTGGCGACAGAGAGGAACCGCCCCTCGGCACCGAAGCTCCGCCCCCTCAGTGCCATAGCCCCGCCTTCGCTGCCATGGCGACCGGTGAGACCCGCCGCCCCGCCCCCGCTGCCATGGCGATCTCGAGCCCCTCCCTCGTTACCATGGCGATCTCGAGCCCCTCCCTCGCTACCATGGCGATCTCGAGCCCCTCCCTCGTTACCATGGTGATCCCGAGCCCCTCCCTCGTTACCATGGTGATCTCGGGCCCCTCCCTCGTTACTATGGCGATCTCGGGCCCCTCCCCCGCTGCCATGGTGACCGCAGGCCCCGCCCCCGGTCCTGTGGTGCCCCCCCACCCCGCCCGCCGGAGGGGCCGCGGCCGCTCCCGCCGCTCCCTCCCGGTGCGGCGGCCCCGGCCCCCTCCGCTCCCCCGGCCGGGCCCCTCAGCCCGCCGGTGGCAGCGACAGCCCGCCGCCGCATCGCGATTAAGGCCGGCGGAAGGGCCCGCGGTGCTTCCGGCGCTGGCGGGGCGTGTCCGGCCGCGGCGCCTCCCGCGCTCCATGGTCCGCGCCGCTCCCAGGGTCCCTCGCGCCGCGGCCGGTACCCGGGAGGAGCGCGGAGGCGGGCGCGGGCCTGTCCGGGGCCTGTCTTGGCCCGGGCCTGGGCCTGCCCGCCGCCGCCATGGAGCTGGAGCTGCCCGAGGAGGTGGAGGGCTCGGCCGCGGCGGGTGCCGGTGCCATCACCCCGGAGGCCGGCGTGGGGGGACCGGACGCGTCAGGAGGTAACGCGCTGCGAGCACCGGGGGCCTCCCCCGCCTATCCCCCCCTTCCCCCAGCCGGGCCCCTGCGTGTCCCTGCTATGTCCCCCGGCGTCCCGCAGTGGTTCAGCCCAGCCGTACCCCCGGCCGGGCGCCCCCGCGGGGCTCCCGGAGTGGTTCGGTCCAGTCCCCCCTTGCCCAGAGTGCGCCCCCCCCGGTACCGCGTGGTTCCGTCCAACCGCCGCTCCCCCCCCTCTCCCCCCCCCCGGAGCGGGGATGGTTCCGCCCGGGGCTCCCGAGGGGACGGGGGAGGTCGGGGGGGTCCGGGAGGGGCTCCCCGTGTCCCTGCCCGGCTGTCCTGGACCAGCGAGGGGAGGTCGTGGTGGGGTCCGGGAGAGGCTCCCCGTGTCCCTGCCCTACTGTCTGGGAGCACCGTGCGGGGCACAGGCCGCCCTGCTCCGGGACTGCTCCCGGTACCGCTCCGGGGGGGGCTGTGGCTCGGCCATGCTGCCCTTCCCTGCTCGGGGCTGGGCCTCGGGCGCTCGCAGGCCCTCGGGTTGCTGTGGGGGCCCGAGCAGCGGGGGTGGCGGGAGGGGGGTCCCATTTGTCAGTGGCCAGAGTGGGCTTGACCGTGGCAGCGGCGTTGGCAGGAGGTTGGGGGTTCTCGGGCGGCAGGATGGATCCGCGGGGCTGTGCCTGTGCACCTGCCCCCGCCTCTGCTGCTGCCTAAATTATTTCTAGTTCATTAAGAGCCTCGGGATCGCTGGCTGAGCCGAGCGCGTGATGTCCCCGCCGCTGCCGGGCTGACACGGAGCTCCGGGCACCTGCCGAGCCCGGGGGATGCTCACGGCGTTTGGCTGTGGGGTGACAGCGATCTCTGCGTCGTCAGGCCTTTAAATGAGCATCATTAGATCTTCTCAAAACAGCCTAATTACAGGGGAGGCCGTGCTCGTTCGGCAGACGCCATCCGCCGCACCGGGGTGGGGGGGCGTGTGTGACGTGTGATTTTTGGGTAAGGTGCCGAGGTTTAGGGGGAGGGAAGCTGTTCCCGACCGTCCCAGCGGTTCCTCACGCTGTGAGGAGATGAGGGGCTGGTGGTGTGCAGCCAGCCCTCCCGAGGCTGCTCGCTGTGCTCCCACTCACCCCCTCCTCTCTTTGGGAGCATTATCCCAGCACAGTGAGGGTTGGCCGGTGATGCCAAGGGAAACCCTTGCTGATCAGGGTCACAGAACGGTTTGGGCCAGAAGGGACCTTAAAGACCATCTTGTTCCACCCCCCCTGCCAGGGACACCAACGAACAGTTAAAACGCTGTCCTTCTGATCTCTCTGTCACCTTTCTGTTTCTAGGGAGGGTAGAGAGTCGTAGCTCAGGACTAGACAAGGTGTCTGTGGAGACTTGCTCAGCAGGGGTTTAAGCAAGGAGTGTGTGTTTTCCTCCTTCCCTGAGCAAGTAAATCTGAATTTATGAACCTTGGGCTGTCTTACCTTACAGTGATAGTAAAAAAGATGAAACGGAGCCAGTAATCTCACCGAAGCTTTGATTTCTGGAGTCAGGTTGCTTTTACTCCTCACTTGGGTAGCGTCCAAATTGTGTCACTTGGCCTCAGCCGCACTTGCAGCTGGAGCTCCCGGGGGGCTGGGGACAACCTGCACGGCAGGCAGCGAGTGTTTGCTGGGGGAGGGCGAAACACACAGGGGTGGAGGTGGCCTTGGCAGGGTGTGCAGAGGCACAGCTGCACCTGCACAGGAGGGCTGTGCTGTGGGTCTGGGGCTATCCCTGCACTCCGTGGTCTGAACTGGGTGACAAACCCGATTCAGCACGTGCAGCACTGGTGCCTTGGCTGTTGTTTGGAGCAGCGGTGGAGGTGCTGAAGTGCTCATGACACACCTGTACAGGTGCTTGCTGCTGCTCACCTTGTGCTCACCGCTCTGCCTGTGCTGTTGATGGAAGATCACCAGCGCAGCTGAAACCTGCTCCTGCCTGGAGAGGAGGTGGTGTGTGCTGTGCTCTGAGTGGAGTGAGGGGTTAATGCAGAGAGAAGGGTGCTGTGTGCTGTGCTCTGACTGAACAACCTGGCAGGGTTAATCCAGGCTGTGGGTCAGGTCAGCAAAGACCTCCCCCAAGCACTCAGTAAATATCGAAGGGAGCCAGTTAGTCTGGTACAGGAGCAAAACGGGATGGAGGAGAGGGGCTGAATCAGGGAAACCTTGGCAGTAGGATGACTAAAGGCACAGAGAGTGTTCTGAAGGGAACTTTTGGAAATCTCATGCTTTGAGGGACCAAAGCTCACTTAGTGCCAGCAGCTGTGCTCATGCGTGAACACAGAGGCCCAATTCGTCACTTTCTGAGACCTCAGCTTTGAGGTTTTAAAGAGTTTTGTGACCAATTGTGTTTGAAAAGCGCATTTCACATAACCAAGTGGGTGCCATTTCTGCTGCACCTTCTCCCTGAATGTGCACCCTCATGCCCTGGGAGGTGGCTGCAGGGGGTGTGAGGGGCTGTTCCTGGGTTCTGGTGAGCTGTTGGCAGGAGCAGAGGCACAGTGTGTTGTGAGGGGGGTTTTGTTCAGGCTGAGGTACCCCAGCCACAGGAACAGTTGGCTGAGGAGATGGCACATCACCATCCCCTCTACCTGGGCACGGCTGGAGGCAGAGGATCTGGAAACCTCCTTTTCTCCAAGGTGGGTGGTTTCTCCAAGTTATGGGAGAGCTGTTATTGCAAAACTGACAGCAGAGCTGGTCTCCTCCATCTCCTTGTTAAAGTGGGAATTCTCAGGCTGATGGGAAGGTAAAGCTGACGTTGGATTTATTTCCATTACTCAGGTCTCTTATTATTCAGGTTACTCTCTGCCCATCACTTATGGGCCAGAGCTGGGGCAGAACCCTCCTTGTTCTTCAGGGCTGGATTCCTCTGCTTTAGGGACCTGAAATGATATAGCAAGGGTTTACACTCTTGTTGGGCAATTGTCTTGCTGTCCCTGGAGCTGGAGGAGCGAAGTGCAGATCCCAGCTCCAGCCAGCTGTGCTGGGCACTGGTGGCACCTCTTTGGCCATCTCCAAAAAGCACCGGGATAGCGCTGGTTTGGACAGCCCAGGAACAGCTCTGCAGCTCTTCCCTCTTCACAGTGATAACTTTCAAGTGACTTTTGAAGGGTGGCTGGAAGCAATTTTTCGTGTGAGCAGATTAGAGATAAGAGAAGAATTCTACCCTGTGGGGCATAAGCAGTTCAATCCATACCGACGGGATGGAGAGGGGAAATTGGAGAGAGCTTATCAGCTTGAGGAAAAATCAAATGTAAACATCATCCCCAGCATGATTATGGTTCACAGCTTAGTTTGATGTCACATGCCTGTGTGCCGTGAAATGGTGCTGGCGAGGATGATTACAGAGGGAGTCAGCCAGGCAGGAACAGGCAGAAAAACACCCCGCGCCTTGAACTCTTAAAGACCCTGCAGTTACTTCACAGTCAATAAAGTCGCAGCTCAGCTGCAGGGAAAGAGGAAGGCAATGGAAATAGAATTGAGGCTGCTCTGGCAAATTAATTGTTCTTTAAGATGTGAATCGGCTGGAAGCAGCCAGGGAAGCTGGGATGATGGGCCTGGGAGCTGGGAAGGGCGGGGAGATGTGGGCACTGCCCGGAGGATGCTGAGCCCGTCGGTATCGGTGTCAGGACAGGCTGGGGAGCGAGTCCCCAGGAACACAGGGCAGGGAGTGATTAATCTAATTTTCATTAACCAGCATTTGGCACTGACCTGTATGTTCCACCCCTGCTGGGGCTGGGCCTGGCAGAACTGCCACTGCCACGTCCCACTTGGGAGGCTCGTGGGCCTCTCCAGAAGGGCTCCCCAGGGAATGACCTGAGTGGATTCACTAGGAGCAGTGCATAATTTGGGAACTATTGAAGTGATTCACTGACATGACCATTATGGGCTCTTGCCAGATGACAATCTTAATAAATATGGTTTTCCCATATAAGGTGTTTGCAGCCTGAAAAGCAGCAGCAGAAATTCCAGCACTCTCTTCCTTCATGGACACATCTTT